ACTTTTGACTTAAATCAGCTAGCATGGTTGCCGTCTCTGTTCAGCTATTACATTCCAGTCCTTGCATTTTCCAAAGAGACTGGCCTTTCGGCAATCTTCAAATATGAACATTCTATAGTTAATGAGGTCGAGGAGATCAGAGGATTTGATCCTGATTCAATAACCCTCACAGCTATCATCCAATCACAATGTTTATGCAAATTAACTGATAGGTAAACATTATAATTTAATTAATACATTTGATCGGAAAAATTCTTACATTGGGCATCCTGACGTAATACATTTAATTGTAAACATAAACATTGGGAGCCGGGCGAACAGATGATTCCCGTTTATTGCATTTTTTTTGTGATCACATCTCACCAGAAATGCATTGAAAGTATAGGGCGTGTTACTTTATTTTCTGTGAACAGTGATCAGTGTTTACCCACCTAATTGAAGTTGAACGTCGCCAAATGTGTCAGTAATGAAATGTGCAGTAAAAAAGTATAGTGGCTAGCAGTGGAGGCTGGTGGGAGGAGCTATAGGAGGACAGGCTCATTGTAATGGCTGGAATGGCATTAAAGGAACGGAGTCAAACGTGGTTTCTATATGTTTGATTTATTCCATTCCAGCCATTACAATGGGCCCGTCCTCCTATAGCTCCTCCCAACAGCCTCCACTGGTGGCTAGGCCTATTTAATGAAACCCTGGTTGTTGACGTAGGCAACATATGTCACGCCCTGATCTAGAGAACTCTTGTTGGTTGGGTCAGGGTGTGAGTTTCTGTTGAGATCTATGTTATTGTATTTCTAGGTTGTAGATCTAGGTTGATATTTCTATGTTTGGCCGGGTGTGATTCCCAATCAGAGGCATCTGTCGCTCGTTGTCTCTGATTGGGGATCATACTTAAGTAGCCTGGTTGCCTACCTTAGTTGTGGGATCTTGTTTGTGTTCCTGTTAGGCTTGTTGTGTGTATAGCCCATAGGACTTCACGTTTTCGTTATTTTGTCAAGTGTTTATTCGTCTTAATAAACATGTACGCATATCACGCTGCACCTTGGTCTGACCCGTCGCTCAACGATCGTGACAACATGTTACAAAGCAGGGGATGCAATTGAAGCAAACGTAGCTCGATTTAATCTTGTAGGCTAATATTTTCCGTATCATTATTTATTTATCTCTCTAGCTACTTTGAACAACATGATCTTGCATTGACATTGCCTTCTCACAAGGGAATGACCGCAGCAGGTCATAACGGTATTGTTTATTGTTGTTCTTAAAATTCTAATCCTATATTGCGGCAAATTTGCACGCACCCCATGTTCCATAACGTTGTCATGGAAAATATTAATGTTGTTTCAAACTACCAATCAGCAACTGAGCCGTTGTCACGAGATCTCTAATACTCAAACTTTGAATGATCCCCAGAGAGTGTAAGACTCTAGTTAAAAATGAATTAAACAAATTGTCCAGTCTGCAAGGGATCAGACATTTTTATTCAATGAGAGAGCTCTGGCGCCAAAACACACACACAGCCTTTTTAAATCCCTTCACACAAAGGAACTTTGCTCCGCCCACCTTTACGCAGCCTGTACATTTCCACAGTATAAAATGATTAACCAGTTTCTAGGTCTTCTCCCTCCTGGAATGTTTGGCTCAGCAGTTCCCAACAACTTAGACAAAAACTTAGAGGGTATGACATCTTGGTTTACTTCGCTGCTATTCAAATCTGAAATCAGAGCACAAATGTCTTCTACCATTTAAACAATACAGCTGTTTCAGTAACCGCATCAACTACATTATTACATTTACATTTTACAGACGCTCTTATCCAGAGCGACTTACAGTTAGTGAATACATATTTTTTTTTATACTGGCCCCCCGTGGGAATCGAACCCACAACCCTGGCGTTGCAAACGCCATGCTCTATCAACTGAGCTACATCCCTGCCGGCCATTCCCTCCCCTACCCTGGACAACGCTGGGCCAATTGTGCGCCGCCCATGAGTCTCCCGGTCGCGGCCGGCTGCGACAGAGCCTGGATTTGAACCAGGATCTCTAGTGGCACAGTTAGCACTGCGATGCAGTGCCTTAGACCACTGCGCCACTCAGGAGCCCATTATATCTCAACTTTTAAAAACAACTGACATTTTGACCACTTTCCCAACTACTTCTCTGCTTTTCAAATCTAAAATCAGAACACTTCTTCCATCACCACAACAATGAGCTAAAGCAAGTCCCACAATTTTACTTCATGTAAAATTACCATCTAGTTTATAATTCAGATATTGCACCGAGCAGCAGACATACAGAGCAGTCAATGATTGCTGAGCCAGTAATATTTTCTCAGCAAATTCAACCATCATGGTTCTGGAACAACTCTTACCCCAGGTCATTATTGTAATCTGATTGACATGCTTGTGTGTGTGTGTGTGTGTGTGTGTGTGTGTGTGTGTGTGTGTGTGTGTGCGCGTGAGTGAGTGTGCGTTGGTGCATATGTGTATCACAAAATGCTACTGCTCGGATAACCCCTATGCCACTAAAACTCAACTCTGGACCTCGAAGCCAGTGTGTGTGTATGTGTGTGTGTGAGAGTAAGGCAGGCAGGGTTAGGTACTGGTCCTCCTGGGGGCTGATAGATTGGAATGGTGGTACTCCCTGTGGCTGAGACGACAGCCAATCTCTCTCACTCAGACCAGGAGATTCAGGGGAGGGCGCCACACTACATTACTCAATCACCTCCTGTTCTCCCCCTAACCTCTCCTCTCCTTCTCTTTCTCCATACATCCCCCCCCCCCCCCATTCTTTGGGCTGAGAACAACATGAGCAGGTCTGACAGATATATGGGTTCAATCCACTAACTTGATTGCAGGGGAGATAGATGGTTGGTGAGTGGGCAGTGCAGGCCTGGTCTCTGGAGGGATAGACTCCAAGGGATTCCTACACTACAGAGTGAACCTTTTGGTCTTCTTCGCTGGGGTATGTGTGGACACATGGGCTTTTTCCAAAAAGGCTTTTTCCAAAAAGGTACCACATTTCCTATTTAGTGCAGTAGGCTCTGGCAAAAAAAAGTAGTGTACTAGGGTGTGATTTCAGATTTGTCTATGGACACATACAGTACACTCAGACAGTGTATGTCACGGGTCACTACTTCACAGGAGAGCCGTTTGAACGTAACCTTTTTTTAATAATCAAAATAAAAATCAATGGAATATGATAGCTAAGAAGATGGAGAAAACACCCGTCTCCGGATTACATCTTCAAACTAAGGGCAATCACGGCATCCGACAGGAGACGCATCCAGCTATGAATGATGTATACGGGTAAGATAGTCTAGCTAGCTACATTTACAGATAATACAAGTTTCTAATTTTGACAGAAAGAGCCATTTGCTTGGCTAGCTATAGCCTAATGTTTGCTAGCTAACATTGAACCTGGTTGGTTAGCTACCTGCAGATTCATTAAGGGTAGTAACGTCATGAGTTGTGATTATGGTTCATTGTTTACCTAGCTAGCTAGCTACATGTCTTAACAAAAGACTCCACTATGCAAGTAACCATTTTGGGTATGTTTGTAAATTCAGTCTGGCCATCTACTCCAATTTCAGAGCACTCTCGTCTGAGTGTGCCAGAGCGCAGAGTAACTGATACATTTACGAACGCTCAACACCCATTGAATATGGCCGGTGTCGGCAAAAAAGCTTAATTAAATTGTTGCCAGCAGCACAGTTACAGTCACCAATGCTCTGGATAACATGAAAACAGCCTAACCAGCTCTGCTAGGGTGAGTAAAATGGTCAGAGTGGGGTGTTCTCTCATTATGTGTCTGGAAGTAGCTAGCAAGCTAGCCAATCTTAGCCAGTTAGCTTGGGTGCTTGACTGCCGTTGTGAGGTCAGAACGTTCGGATCAACCCTACTCATCGGCAAGAGCGCTCTGAATGCTCTGAGAGCGACATGTTTTGAATTTACAAACTGACAATCTGACAGCACAGTTGCAGTCACCAACGCTCTGGATAACATAACAGCCTTACCAGCTCTACTAGGGCGAGTAATGTTCAGTGAGCTGTTGTGTCTGGAAGTAGCTAGCAAGTTAGCTTGGGTGCTTGACTTCTGTTGTTAGTACAGAATGGTCGGATCAACCCTTAAAGAGATGGGTGGGGCTAAAGCTTAAGAGGGTGTGAACGATGCTGAATGGGTGTAGACAAAGAAGGGCTCTAGTAGTAGTACCAAAAGATTCAAAGGCCATTTTCTCAAAAATGTGTTTACAAGTTTATCAACTTTCAAAGTAAAATTACTTTCCCATTGTTCCTCAACTGTATTGTATGATATACCATTTTGTAGCTCTGAGTCTCTACTTTTTTTGCTACATAAGACCAATTTGAGCCGTTCGGTCACATATCGTACACTACCTTTGGTAAATCATTACACACTATTTGGGATGCATAGTAGTGTGCAGTGCAGGTCCTGGAGGGCATGTAGGTGGTTGCATGACAATGCCCCCGTGCATAAAGCGAGGTCCATACAGAAATGGTTTGTCGAGATTAGTTTGGAAGAACTTGACTGGCCTGCACAGAGCCCTGACCTCAACCCCATCGAACACCTTTGGGATGAACTGGAACGCCGACTGCGAGCCAGGCCTAATCGCCCAACGTCAGTGCCTGACCTCCCTAATGCTCTTGTGGCTGAATGGAACAAGTCCCTGCAGCAATGTTCCAACTTCTAGTGGAAAGCCTTCCCAGAAAAGTGTCCACATATTTATGGTCATGTAGTGTATTTGTGTGACAGAAATGTAACACAAACAATATCATACATAATTACTCATATAATTTCTATATTGTCTGGTCTTTCTAAGGTCCTGTGGAAAAACATCAAACTAAACTTAAAGAAGACAAATTCTGTTTCTTGTAGGGAGCGTTTCAAGACTGGTGGCGGACCCCAGTAAGACCAGAGACAGATGAGCTGGGGGACTTGTTGACCGGGATCATTGATAGCTAGCAACCCCTTGAAGGTATCCCTGATGATGACCATTTGGACAGTTCAGATGGGGGACCGTTCCAATCCTCATTTGGTAGGAAACATTCATTCAACATGTGCCATCCCCGGACTGCAGGGAATATGTAATGTTGTTAGTCATCGCTTGCACTCCCATAATAAAAATGATGTAATGAACTCAACTCTTGAAGACATAAAGTTCTCTAATGCAGCAGTGTAATCCTTTTCTAGAGGCAGATGATCACCATTGCTTGGTGGGGATAAGACAGGACGAAGGTCAGCCAACTACATCTGCAGCAGCCAGGAGGGAAGATTGGGTCACTAACCTGGGCCGGAGGACAAAGACAAAGAGGCTTAGCATGTGTGACAAACTGGCCATGGAATTTAATGAGCGCAAACTAATGTATTTAAAAGAAGAGCATGATATGAAGATGCAAATAATTTATGTTGAGTTGGCTATGAAGGAGGAATAGAGAAACAGGAAGCAGCAGCAGTACCAATGTTCTTCTCGAACCAGCACCAGTTCGGGGTCCCGATATTTCCATTTGTGAATTAAAACCTTTTTGTTACCAATCCATGGATATTGTTTGCAAAAGCATCTCTGCAGGCATGTCCATGTCTGTCATTGTCTGCCTCAACCATGGGAACATCTGGGTCATCCTCATCTTCAATGTGAGGATCTGGGCAACCTTGCTGTTTGAGGTAATTCTAAAGCACGGCTGTTGCAATTATGACAATGCAGCATCTTCTTGGTTGAAAGCGCAATATGTTGCTGAGACACTGGAAATTACTCTTCCATACACCAAACATGCACTCCACTACACCTCTGGTGTGGGCATGAGCTTGGTTGTACCGTTGTTGCTCTGGTCCAATTGCATGAAGATAGGGGGTGAACAAGAAGTTGGTCTGTGCATACCCACTGTCACCAATTATGATTCCACTATGTTGTCCTCCTTCAAGCTGAGCACACAAAGAGGAGTTTTGGAAAATCCTTGAGTCATGAGTTGCACATTTATTGAGAACCAGTTTTTACGATTCCTGTACTCCTCAGCATCTGCTGTAGAGGGACACTTGATGGGATTATGACATCCATATATACAGCCATTGACTCCAAGGAAGTTCCCATATTCATAGAACTCTACCTTGTAGTTGGCTTGGGCAGCAGAATCAGGGAACTTTATGTAATTGTCTTTCAGTTCACATATAGCATTGCAGACTTTGTGGACTACTCTGCATACAGTCAGTTCACTTACACAACACAAATCTCCTGTTTCACGATGGAAGGTTCCAGATGCCAAAAACCTCAAGGTGATCAATATTTGTAGGGAAGGAGGGATGGGCCTTCCCTGAAGAGAGTCAGATGAAAGCCTTGGCTTAAGCAAACAAATAATGTCAGAAATGTATATGTATTTGTATATATGTATGTATATATGTATGTATGTGTATATATATATATATATATATATATATATATATATATATATATATTTGCGAGATTAAAAAACATACGGGGGATTGGAAGTGATACAGACAATTACATTGATGGAAGTTACAATCTATCTGCAATATTAAAGCTGATCTACCCCCTAAAGAAAATAAAATAAAATGTCAGCTGCATTTTCTTGTACTGTGAGGGAGAAAAGTATTTGATCCCCTGCTGATTTTGTAAGTTTGCCCACTGACAAAGACATGATCAGTCTATAGGTTTATTTGAACAGTGAGAGACAGAATAACAACAAAAAAATCCAGCAAAACGCATGTCAAAAATGTTATAAATTGATTTGCATTTTAATGAGGGAAATAAGTATTTGACCCCTCTGCAAAACATGACTTAGTACTTGGTGGCAAAACCCTTGTTGGCAATCACAGAGGTCAGACATTTCTTGTAGTTGGCCACCAGGTTTGCACACATCTCAGGAGGGATTTTGTCCCACTCCTCTTTGCAAGTCATTAAGGTTTTGAGGCTGACGTTTGGCAACTCGAACCTTCAGCTCCCTCCACAGATTTTCTATGGGATTAAGGTCTGGAAACTGGCTAGGCCACTCCAGGACCTTAATGTGCTTCTTCTTGAGCCACTCCTTTGTTGCCTTGGCCATGTGTTTTGGGTCATTGTCATGCTGGAATACCCATCCACGACCCATTTTCAATGCCCTAGCTGAGGGAAGGAGGTTCTCACCCAATATTTGACGGTACATGGCCTCATCTATCGTCCCTTTGATGCGGTGAAGTTGTCCTGTCCCCTTAGCAGAAAAACACTCCCAAAGCATAATGTTTCCACCTCCATGTTTGACGGTGTCGAAAGTGTTCTTGGGGTCATGGGCAGCATTCCTCCTCCTCCAAACACGGTGAGTTCAGTTGATGCCAAAGAGCTCGATTTTGGTCTCATCTGACCACAGCACTTTCACCCAGTTCTCCTCTGAATCATTCAGATGTTCATTGGCAAACTTCAGACGGGCCTGTATATGTGCTTTCTTGAGCAGGGGGCCCTTGCGGGCACTGCAGGATTTCAGTCCTTCACGGCGTAGTGTGTTACCAATTGTTTTCTTGGTGACTATGGTCCCAGCTGCCTTGAGGTAATTGACAAGATCCTCCCGTGTAGTTCTGGGCTGATTCCTCACCGTTCTCATGATCATTGCAACTCCACGAGGTGAGATCTTGCATGGAGCCCCAGGCCGAGGGAGATTGACAGTTCATTTGTGTTTCTTCCATTTGCGAATAATCGCACCAACTGTTGTCACCTTCTCACCAAGCTGCTTGGGTTGCTCCTGTCTATAACCATCCTTCTGTCTGGGCTTGGTGGTACTCTTTGGTCATCATTAAAATAGTCCAGGTAATCCATACAGGTACAATCTTCAAATTCATATATTTTCATATATTCAGTTAATATCACATTTTCATTTATTATTTTACACATATATTTTTCTGTTGTACCTATGGGCTTCCACTCAAAAAAAAGAAGAGAACATAAAATAATTAATAAATACATAATACAAAGTCATGCTCATTTTGCTCATATTACAGATTTTAAGTAATAGTACATTTAGTATGTAAAGGAAAGGAAAAAATTAAAAGTGGGCCTCCATCCAACCACCATCTAAGAGCCAACATATTTTTTTGCGGCAGTGCTGCCTGCCAACAGTAATTGTCTCTGATTTGTTGAGAGATTCAAGGAGCAATCATCGTTAAGTAACATAGTAGATGCAAAGCATTGAATATTTACATTCATGCACTTCAAAATGTTTTTTTAAACTTTGTCCCAGAAGCATTTAACTGCAGGGCACTCCTACATCATATGAAGGAATGTGCCTACCTGATTTAGGGGACGCAGTGAACAGTTTCCTTGGCGTTAAATACAGTTTGTGAATAAACTTTACCTCTTAAGGATCATTTGAAAGGAAACACTTTAAAGTTTGTGGAAATGTGAACTTAATGTAGGAGAATATAACACATTAGATCTGGTAAAAGATAATACAAACAAAAAAACATGCGTTTTCTATTTATTTATTTTTTCCATCATCTTTGAAATGCAAGAGAAAGGCCACAATATAATATTGCAGTTTAGGCGCAATTTAAATCTTGGCCACTAGATGGAAGCAGTGTGTGCAAAGTTTCAGATTGATCCAGTGAAGCGTTGCAATACTGGACTATTTTGTTTCAAGTCTGCCCAAATGTGCCGAATAGGTCAATTGATACATTTTCAAGTACATAACTATAGAGAACATACAAAAATGATGTGGTAATACAAAATGTAAGTTTACACACTCCCAGGAATGTCATACATGATGGATCATTAGCTTATAAACTAACTTTCACACATCTAGATGGCCGGGCGGGGTTGGTGTGGAGCCAGAGACAGCAGGGGTTCAAACTGTAGAACCCAGTTCCTACAATATAAAAATTGATTTTATCAAACAAAAATATGCTACATTTTATCTCTGGGACCCTTAGGATGACAAATCAGAGCAAGATTACTGAATGTAAGTACAGTATTTACCTTCAGAGGTGAATGTATCAAACCAGTTCAAACAATAGCATGGTATTATTTCACTGTAATAGCTACTGTAAATTGGACAGTGCAGTTAGATTAACAAGAATTTAAGCTTTCTGCCCATATAAGACATGTCTATGTGCTGGAAAGATTGCTGTTACTTACAACAGTCATGCTAATCACATTAGCGCATGTTAGCTCAACCGTCCCGTATACGGGACACCAATCCTGTAGAGGTTAAAATGTATAAATTGATGGTTCGGTTTTCGGAATGCCAAGGTCATATTTTCCATATTCTGTTCCAATTAAATTTAGTGTATTTTGTTATTTTATTAGGATCCCCATCAGCTGTTGCAAAACATGAAACATTACATAATATAGAACATTAATAGACAAAAACAGCTCGAGGACAGAACTACATAAATTTAAGAAATGGCACACATAGCCTCAATACATACACACAAACTATCTAGGTCAAATAGGGGAGAGGTGTTGTGCCGTGAGGTGATGCTTTATCTGTTTGTTCAAACCAGGTTTGCTGTTCATTTGAGCAAATTGAGATGGAAGGGAGTTCCATGCAATAATGGCTCTATATAATACTGTACGCTTTTTCAAATTTGGATTTGGGGACTGTGAAAAGACCCCTGGGGCATGTCTGGTGGGGTAAGTGTGTGTAAGTGTGTGTGTCAGAGCTGTGTGTAAGTTGACTATGCAAACAATTTTGAATTTTCAACACATTAATGTTTCTTATAAAAAGAAGAAGTGATGCTGTCAATCTCTCCTCAACTCTTAACCAAGCAAGACTGGCAGGTCCTGTGTGGCTCAGTTGGTAGAGCATGGGGCTTGAAACGCCAGCGTTGTGGGTTCCATTCCCACGGGAGACCAGTTTGAAAAAGTATGATCATTTATGCACTCACTACTGTAAGTCGCTCTGGATAAGAGCATCTGCCAAATAACTACTATAAAGAGCAAGATGTGGCACTCTGTTCTGGGCCAGCTGCAGCTTAACTAGGTCTTTCTTTGCAACACTTGACCACATGACTGGACCACAATCAAGATACGACAAAACTAAACCTACAGGACTTGCTTTTTGGAGTGTGGTGTCAAAAAAGCAAGAGCATCTGCTTCAGATTCAATTAGAACTGTGGACCATCCTTTTTAATGGCTAGCACAGAGTATTAATATATAAAAAACTTTCATGAAAGTTGTTTATATATTATAGAAATCAGTCCTTTCGGAAGCCCAGATAATTTATTCATAAATCCCATAATTGGATGGTTCGGTAGTTGGTTTTCCCAAGGGACTAAATTGTAAATATAGAAGGGGGGGGGGGTTTAAAAGGCTGCCCTCCAGATCGCAAAGGGTAATAGGATACAACATATTTCTCTCCATACTAAGCAGAAGAATCATGTCTAAACCATAGGATGTGGCGAAATGCTAATGCCTGGAAATACAATTTAAAGTCTGGTACAGATAGTCCTCCTA